TGCCCGCTCGCGTACCCCTCTCTCTCTAACTATATCGCGCTGCCGCTAGCTAAAGATAGATGCAGGCGCAAGCTGCAGACACACATGCATAATGCAACATGTAACAACAATAACAAGAACAACAGCAACTTTGGTGCCGCATGTTGCGCCGTGTGCTCACTAGTTTATGGCCATTGCATCCATGAGATACACGTACTTTAAGGGCTTCTGTCGCGTCGTCGCCTTTTATTACGTACTACTACACAGCTAATGTGCATAACAAAATACTTCCCTTTGCCTTTGTTTTATTTTTTAATATTTTTTAACAACTATTTTTAAACGCAATGCGCTTAAGGCTAATTAAATTTTCAACAACAATTTTCCCTTATCGGTGGCAATTTACGAGCCACTTGCAGCGAAAGTTGTTTCTTTTTTAGCTTTTGGCTAATGTCGCCATATGTTGGGCTTAATTACACTCTCCAACACACCCTGATTACAGCCGCGTGCGGCCTACCATCTGACCCCGGTTGGATAAAGAAAGAACAAAAAAAAAACGTTAAGAACAAACGCTTTTAAAAACTCATTAATGCAAAATTTGTGGCTGCCAAGTGTTGGCTGCTGTCTGCGTTATATGACTTGCAATTTACATCTCTGAAGCTCATGGAGCTCACTTATATATGACTTTATGAATGTATATAAATAACCATGACACATGCCTCGACAATAGTTAAAAAGATCCACAGCAAGCTAAATCATTGCTGAGACATGACATTTCTTTTAAAAGTTTTCAATTCGATTTTATGAGCTGAATAGTTTTTACTGCTCGTATAATATCTATTCTTATGTTTATTGGCTTCTAACTTCTCTAATTGGCTCTTTGATTTTGTATTGCCAGTTTTTCACTTATTTTGCAATTTCAAATTAAACAATTCCCATCTTGGTCACGTCTATATATTTGCATGCAAAGCTATGAAGGTCATATCTTTAAATCTTGGAAAATAAAAAAAATTGCACTTTGAATTCAAATAAAATGGAAATAAAATAACGAAATCTGCCGTTGATTGCGCTTGATAAGGCAATAATCTATACACAGATAGAATGCACTTTAAATCTATTATGCCTTGCTGTGAAGTAATACTTTGAACAAGGTTGCATACGGTATGCATTTTTAGTATAACGAAATTTATATATTTTTTAAAATTTATTTTTAAATGTTTTTCAAATTTAACATTACAAATTTCACAATAGATTCCAGCGCAAAATAAAAGTTGTATATATATATATATATTACAAAAAAATGGGGTCGAAAAATAGACAAAATTCATATTGATACACAAATAAGTGTTAAATCTAGTTTAGACAAGATTTATTATCATCTATCCGATCTTTTAAGCAGTTGCTCTAAACAGTCTGTCCAGTGTTGGTCAACAGCGTTTTGTATCTGTGTATCTTGTATCGTGTTGGCTGCGCTTGTCATCATTTGCTTGAAGGTCAAGCAAACTGTTTGCTAATTAAGTAAAATTGTAAACAAAACCAGTTGACGAGTGTTTTTGGTTAATTACAAAATGATGCATCGCAATGCTTCACTGACATTGAAGTGAGTAGTTTATGAGTAGTTGATGAGTGGCTGATGAGTGCAGTGGATGACTGCTTGGTCGCATCTCCGTGTAATGCTATATGCAAAGCGTATATATTGCGCATACGCTCTGTGGGCACAAAGTTCAAAACGAAGTTGGACTTGGACTTCTATAACACAGAACTTGTGACGCTTCTTCTTCAGTTTGTTGTTCTTATTGTGGTTGCGATTTTCCAATAATTCATATAACGCTGCGAAGCCGCAAAACTTGGGCAAAGGCGGCGGTGTCTGTGTTTGTCTTCCGCAAACAGATTTAATACTCGGCTACAATATGCAAAATTCCATTGGTTCGAGTCGAGGTAACTTTTTCAATATTTCATTCGCTTTGCCCGCTTCATTTGCGTATTTGCCTATGGATATTGTGATTCTTTGTGGGCCGGCAAGTATTGCGGAAATGGGCATATACCGACGGCTGTATGCGAATACATATAATAGGTATATATATATATATATATATATCTCGTGCGGGCGTGTAAACTGGGCCAGTTTCTTGGTGGTTATTGCAGCTGTGGCTCGGGCAATTGCAAAACCTGCTGCACTTGTCGCATCAGGGCTTAAACCCAATTAAGCGCTAATTAACATACATTAAGTACAAGTGTGTGCGTGTGGGTGTGTATGGGTGTGTGTGTCAATTCGAACTGTGCTAATGCATGTGACTGACCCGCATTAGGGCGCTAGTCAAGCTAAAAAAATCAGCAATTGATGCTATGAGCTACGTAGTTGCTATACCCAGCAATATAGTTGATATACCCCGTAATTTTTTAACTCAAGCTTCTTTGGATTTCATATTAGCCTTAGCCACCTAATCAAGTTTCTGTGCCTTTGTCTTAATTTCCTCCCTGTAGCTGTGTTAGATGGGTAGATACTTTACGTATACCAAATGTTTTTAATATTTTGAATATTTTTCCTCATTATAATATAATCAAAGCGAGTTAAAATTTTTTATGAAATATAGAGTAAATTTCTTCTTCTTCATCTCACAACTTATTAACTATATGTCTTCATTCCTGAACAGCCGGGTTCATGTCCCACCGACTGTCCGACTGTCAGCCTCTGGCCAGATCATATATTACCCAAAAATATGTTTTTATATACTTTTTTCAAGTTTTTCATTCAGAATATTTACGATGAAAAAGGTGTTTTAATCAATGCCTAAAATTGATTTACAAACTAACATAAAATATTACAGTTTTTATGTGCGAAATGTTTAGTGAAAAACATTCCGCAGCTTTCTCTTTGTGGGGGTTTGATATCTATTTGGGGTAGTTGTGTCAATAGCCTTGGATGTGTCAGGATTACAGGCGGTGTGACAGACCAAAAGAGTTGGCTATTTGGCAGCTGCAGCAGCTTCAGTTCACAGCTATCAGATGGCCAAAGATGCAGCCGCAGACAACAGCAGCCCCCTCATCTGGCCGATCTTGCTGGCGTCTAGCGTATTAGCAGCCCACTTTAGAGTGGGAGTTGGTTGGTTTGGATTGTGTGGTTCGAGGTTATGGGGGGAGGTGCATTTGTAGGCTTTGAGCGGATTTGTTTAAAGCCGCGATGGTGGCAGCGATGCAGAAAGTTGTGCTGCTTTTCTTTTTATTTATATTTATATTTTTTTTTTTTGCGCTCGCGCGAGATATTATGCGGCGATATTAATTGACAAATGAGATTTTTCCTTCCTACTCGACAGCGACAGGGGAACTTTCATTTTGACCACAAGCGTCTTGTTGTCAGCCCGGCTCAAACTCAAACTCAAGCTCCAGCTACAGCTACAGCTACAGCTCAAGCCCACAAATGCAGGCCAAGGCAATATGCATATACGTGGCTGGCCAATATGGTTAGAGCTGGCTGCAGCCGGCTGCTGTTTGGGTTAACGCCAACTGTCTGGGGCTATCAAACGCGCCGCGAACTCTTGTCAAGTTACTTAATGCCATAAATGCGGCTTGCATACGCACAACAACGTACCGCTAGGTTAAGATACGCCCTCTTCTGCACTGCAGCCCAACCACCCAGTCCGGACCACACCAAACCGCACCACAGCACAGCATGTCTTCTCGATAGCAGCCGGCAGATTGATGAACGCTGTCATGGCATAAATATATCTTGAAGCGAAATGCGAAAAAAATAGAATGGAAAATTCAAAAGATATTGATAGCTAGTTTGGCCATTATACTATAAGATAAGGGATAATCATATATGTACTCTAAGATGCTCTTTGAATTTGTGATACAAATGTAGTTTGAAGTAGTGCAAGTATAATATAATAAAATAAATAAAATGCGGCGAATAGCTTCTCAAATATTTAATTTATGACAATAACTACAAATATAATCTTTGATAATAAATGGAGATTGTATAGATTGGTAGATAAGATGAATTTGTGATGAAAAATTGGTTAAATAATTAATAATTATTAATTAGCTTGCCAATAGACCAGAGTCCCTAAAATCTTATATCTGACAGATATAGGTGACAATTCGAATATTTGAAAATATTCTTATATAGAAATATATATCTGCGATATCTATCCATCGGCGATAACTATCGATCATAGATGACAACCTATTGATAATTATCAAACATTAGATTATAAACCTGCAATAACTATCTATCACAAGTTGAAATCAAATATTAATACATTAACTAAGCGAAATTTTAAAATAGTTTTCCATATTCTGAAACATGAAGTGAATATTAAAAATTTTAACATATGCTGCCATAGCTCTTATATTTATATATATATAATTTTTATATGGAATTGCTTTCGTCAGACCGTATTTATTTAAGTCGACAGTAATGCTCTAATTGGTGACGTTATTATTTTAAGCGCAAGCATCATTAATAAAATATTAATCAGAGTTATAATGAACCCGTGTTCTGTGAATCATACCTTGTCTAGATAAGAGCTACAATCAGCTTGAGAGAAGAGTATTGTGTATGGTTGATTATTAACTATTGACAAGTCTTTTACTTTTGACAATATTTATTTTGTGCATTTGGCGCCAAACTTGGCAAGGAAGTCGTAGCGTTCCAAATTGACGCAAGATTCTACATCTTTAAAAGCCAAATGGCAAACCTTTCTATGGGCTTGTGGGTGTGTCCCGCGATAGACAGTCGCCGTCAGTTTTAGTTGCCTGTGTGGCGCTGTCAATCAATGCCAATGCAAAGCGCTACAACAACAACAGGCAGGTAGTCAGTCAGTCAGTCAGTCAGCCGTTCAGCTAGTCAAGTCTTGGCTTACGCTTTATATGTATTGGTTTGCCTTGGCTTTTTGAAAATTGCAGCCTGCGCTGTGGCGCGTTGGTGGCCACGTCAAGAACTTGTACATGTTGCATATTAATTTTATTTATTTGTGTGGCAAGCGGCGTTTGACTAATTTCCTCCTTTGCTTCTCTTTTAGTATGGACTGCGTCAATTGGATCTCTCACTGCTGTCACAATTGTGGGCGCTAAACGACTCTATACAGGAGTTTCGCACGATGATCGAAGAGCAGGAGGACGAGGATGATGACGGAGATGTTGATGATGATGACGATGCCGAGCTAGATGAGATGGGCAATCGCAGGCATTCACCGACGCCCTCATCCTATGATTCGGTTAGCTCCGAAGGCGGCGCCGATGCGGAACTTGTCATGCAGGCCAAGGCGAAGCGTCTGGGCACCATACCAAAGGTCATAACGACGCAGCCAAAGCAGCAGCAGAAGCAGCAGCTGCAGCCGCGGGGCGATCTGAAGCCGTTGCCACGAATGCGCAGCGCACCGCCGCCACCGCCGCCCGTCGCACTCATGTGCACCGCACGCAAGGCGGCGGCACCGCCACGACCCACATGATGTTACCTAACCGACTTCCTAGCCGGAGTCAGGATGGTCATGTGCAAGGCGATTGTGAGCGATGTGCCGCCGCCGCCGACGACGTCGACGTCCACATTGGGCACCAACTGAGCTGGAGCTGGAGCTGCAGCTGGACTTAAAATTAACTGGAGCAGCACATGGCAAGGGCATTGTGAAGTCGGTTAACGAATGTTTGTTTTGTGGCATGCACCATCCCTAGAATAGTTTACACAAACGATAAACGATAGACGATCAACGACAAACGTTAATCGATAAGGGATAATCATACATATATACACTATAGCTTAGCGTTAAGAGCGCAATTTAATTAATCCTAAGCCGCATAGCCATTAAGTTTAGCAGTCCTTTGTGTGATCTTCAGTTGTAAGTTTATTGTAATTTGAGTGTGCGCGTTTCTTTTTTTTTTAATTTTCTTCTGTTGGCCCAGGCTCTACAACATAATTGAGGGCTAATTTTTGGGTTTTTCTTTTACTGGGTTCACCTACTACTTTATTGTTTTTTATATATGAATATATATTTTTTGTTTTACGATTTTTAATAACTATATCCTTTCAAATCTAACGCAATATTTGAAACAGCACCCGCTCACAGCAGAACCACAATTTAACACTATAAATATATATACCGGAAAATAAAAAAAAGAAGCATAAAACGTTGCTGTAGATTTAAGTAAGGAACTGCACTACTTGTATATAGAGCCTGTCACTAAACAAATCCTGCGCTAAAACTATCTTAGGCTTTCTTTCTGCTGCTGCAACACCAAGCAATATGTCTGCGAAAATAAAGAATCTAAAAACGAATTATTAAACTCAATGAATTTATTTAAATTCTGTTAGTCGGCACGTTCTCTAGGCAATACTTATGCCATCCGTGCCCAGTTTGAGGCAGGGAAAATCAAAGGCCATCAGCTGGTTTTCTGAAAAGCTGCTATAAAAACTTGGGCACATGTTGATGTTCGTCAGGCCCGACAGTTTGGTGCTCATCTTTAGGCATATCGCCATGGGCGTTATTTGTGATAGCACGGGCACACAAATACTAGGCGTGGTCTTGGAATCGAGAGTAAACTTGGACACTTCATTGTTGTCCAGCGTAACAGTCACATCCACCGAGGCCTTGAGTACATTTATTTTAAATGTCATGCAAACTTGGAGAAAATTGTTTAATTAGTTGGCTATATTGTTTTCTTGTGGCCTAAACATACGCGTCTTGTTCACATCCATGGACTTAATGACTGCGCCCTGGCAACAGTTGCAGCTCATGCTCAATGAGCATTTGCAATGCGCTGGAAAGGATAACATATTCGGATCTTCACTGGAATCGCCGGCGGCCTGCACAACTCCGATGCCGACCAGGCAAAGCCAAATGCCCAACACCAAAGCCAGCAGGTGCCATTGCTTGGCTAGGCTCAAGGTTGCATCTACCATAACTGAAGTATTGTCGGATTTATTTTAAACTGGATAAAGCAATCACAACGCGTGCCATAAAACTGACTGAAATAATCAGACACTGTTTACTTTTTGTTCAGGGAATTTGCACGCAAAAATGAAGAGTTTCACATAAATTTAATGGAAAGTCATTTAAGTTTTGGTAATTAAATATAATTAACAGAACGGTTCATTTAATTTCCATGGGCGTACACAGGTTCAAGGGTAATCAAGCAAATTTTCATATCAATTTTTTCGTGATATTCATTGGCCTAAGAGTAGGCAGCAAAATGTTAAGACATTCTGGATTTATTGATCCCCAAAGTATGCAATTAAATAAGCTATTGTTTCGGAACCTTGTACAATGGTTGCATACTTTCAAGGGCAAACAATAAAATTAAAAATTAATACTGACTTTAGATATATAAATATTAATAAATAGATAGATAGATAGATGCAAATAGCTGAATTTATGATCTTAAAAATATATAGCAGACTATCTTAAAAGGCATTGATATTTATCTCGATTGATATTTCTATTTATTTGTCAAGAATGTTTCGATATCGGAGACTTTATTAGCAAGAGGCATTATATTCGACGTGGAAGTAAACCAAACTTATTTCCCAGTTTGCCTAAATTCAGTAAATTAAATTTCTAATCCTTTTTTTTGTCGCATATTAAAGTTAGATGCCAACTTAGTATAGTTTATTCACGTATAATACGTACATGTCAAGCGCAGAAATTAAAAAATATTATGAATCATTTTTTCCACAATTTCTATGTTGCATTCTAAGCTATGTGTATGTGTTGCTGTTTTATTTTATTTTTTTTTTTTTCAGTGAAAGTAAATTGGTGCTATGGCTTTCGTCTAGACGCGGTGGAAAGAATTGCGTTCGGTACGGGTTTGAGCCCCATTGTGCTCGTAGAGCGAGCTGGGTGGGGTAGGAGGGTACAGGGTATCCACTAGACGGGAACTCCCAACTATAGTCATAGTCTCTTGTTTTTATTTTACTTTTGAAAATATGAATTGACATTCCGACACTCATATTTTTTCGTCATAGGATCCATTCAATTCTAATGATAATGATTCATGGCGTAGTTTCCCCGATTCTTTTACAAGTTCATATCTGTAAAAGTTTTTCATGACAACATTTGTCGTTTTTAAATTCTTCGTTTTGTTAGTGGCAATAGAGATAGAATGGCAAGGCCAACCTGTACAAGTCTCGCACAGAAATAGCAAGTGGCCGAAATGATAGACCATATTAATTAAATTTGTTTATGTCATATGAAACTGGTTACTAGAAGCGAACACAATAAATTTCTCATGGCCATGAATTAGCCGAAAAAAGCGAAAGTATATGTTTATCAATTCTCATATGATTTATTCAAATTCAATCAATATTCCATATAAGATCAGAAATATAACTAAAACATGCATCAAACAAAAAGCGATTCCAATTTGCAACGTGCCGGGCACAATCCAAGCAAATTCGTTAATTCTCTAAGGTATTTGCGAGGGCAACTCCAAAAGTAGCCGGTTTACATTTCGTTTATTCTTAATTTGGTTTTTGTCTAAAGGTAGACGAAAATATAAGCAAATTTTTACCTACACATTTATTTGATGCATTTTATGTATAACTTTTCTCAGAAAGGGTACTTTCGTAAATAGGAAAATTGAAATTCAAAGATCATTATATTTATTTACTGCGCATAGATATCCTCTCGCCATTTAACATTTATTGTGCCACCCACGTAAAAAACATGCAACGAGATGCCAAACCAGTGATAATTAATATGAAGATTACGTATACGACGCATCGGCTATCAAAAGTTGTCGACGACTTGCTTAAATATTCTTTGATGATCTTTGCTGTTTGGTTGCGAAAAAGATTGCTATTCAGTCTAGTTTTAGAAGTGCAGCTTGCTTCAACATGACAACTCCAAAATTGGTGAATATAACAATTTGAAATTAAGAATATATCTAATTTATGTGTATATTGTATTTGTAGATACTTTTTGTTGCCCTGGTGGCAGTCATGGCAGCCAGCTGCTCTGCTGGTTTCTTGGACTACGTTTTTCCCACTCTCATGTCTGAGTATTACAACCAGGTGCCCACTAAGGAGGGTTACCGCTTTAAGTAAGTCCATTTATTCTGTGTCAATTCCATTCAGTTCCAAATTGTTCTACCTTCATCTTAATAGCTTGAAGGATCCTAATGGGAGCTCTCGTGAGGAAATTGGTGTTATTATGAATCCGGGCACACCCGAGGAGCAGCTGGTTGTGATGGGTACCTACTCCACCTACGATGAGAAAACAGATACGGATACTATTACCATGTATACTGCCGATAAGGATGGTTACAAGACGCGCTATCAGATCAAGAATCGAAAATTGAGCGGGGGAAATCTCAAATCTTTAGCTGGCTAACATTAATTTAAAAATGAAAAAAAATATTATATTCTAAATTTTATGGATTCCTAACCTTGAACTGACCGAAACGAATTCAGAAATCACAAATATAGCAAATTATACAATTATTTATGCTGAAACTTGCTGGGAACTGGCGAATTAATTTTTCAGGTATTAAAACAACACCCATTTTAAGATGAATAAGTGTCGGAATTTTGAGCATTAAAATGTGAATTTTGCATTGTTAAGGCCGAAATTTATGACAGCCATTGGCATCTGGCATTTGAGTCTGTGATAACAACTCTTTGACGGTATTCCCCTGCACAAAGATGACAGCATGGAATCATTATTTGTCATACCACCCACGTAAATGGCACGTCTTAAAGTTGGCAGCCCATTGATCATTAATTAATGTGCTTAACAACTATGTAGGTACGCTGACCGAACCGAAAGAAAACAAAACGTAACACCTTAAGGTTTGGGTTTTGCATAGATGCCGGCTAGCATTGGCGCTGAGTCTGTATCGGGGACCGGTTTGAGCTAATAGTAGCAACAGCGAATTAAAAAGCAAAAAATAAATAATAGAAAATAGAGGCAAACTATTACATATACGGCGCATCATATGGTGGACGCCGTCGACGCCTCGCTTAAATATTCTTTGCAGATCTCTGGTGTTGGATCGCCGCACAGTTCCATCTCAGTCTCGTTTGGGAACTTCAGCTCGCATCAACATGACAGCTGCGAAATTGGTGAGTAGTCGAAAGGCCCAAAGGCCATCGCCAGCCAAGGCAAGGGTGGAGACTGGCGATTGCTGACTGCCGATTGACGTTGACTACTTGCATTTGAATGGCATTCAAAGTATTCACAATCCGTTTCGAATGCTTGCAATTAAAATGTTTAAGGCTAATGCCGCTGACTGCAGCTGCTGTTGAACTGGACAAGCGATTAGCTATAATTACTCAATCAAGTGCATATCTTATATTGTTTATAAATGTATCTTGTAGATATTTGTTACTGCTTTGGTGGTTGTTATGGCAGCCAGCTGCTCGGCTGGTTTCCTTGACTATATTTTCCCCACCATCATGACGGAATATTACAACCAGGTGCCCACTAAGGAGGGTTACCGCTTTGAGTAAGTCCATCAAATCGGATTCAATTCCATTCAGATTCTAGCTGACCTACTTCTATCTCAACAGCTTGAAGGATCCTAATGGCAGTTCCCGCGAGGAAATTGGTGTTATTATGAATCCGGGCACACCCGAGGAGCAGCTCGTTGTGATGGGTACCTACACCAGCTACGATGAGAAAACTGATACGGACACTATTACCATGTATACTGCCGATAAGGATGGTTACAAGACTCGCTATCAGATCAAGAATCGCAAATTGAGCCCCGGCGCACTGAAATCTGCCGCAGGCTAAGAAATGTTTAGAATATTTAGTAAAAAAAAAAAAGTGATAATAACATAGTAAAATATATATGTATTTATTATTGCTGATAATATGTTTGCATGTTGAAACTGGTTTGAAAACTTGTTGGTAAATTCAGTATGGTCTTTGGCCAAGATCAAGTTTAGATGTTTCATTATCAAGCGGTCATCTGGATAGACAAGTTTGTGTATTTATATTATTGCGTAATATAGTTTGACCTTTAACATTCTTGCAGCTTACTTAGCCATGAATCTTTACAGAGATTACAGAATTCTACTGGCGTCAGATCTGTGCATAATTTTCATGCTAATTAACAACTTTGGGAGTCATGAGAGCTTTTATTAATTATTAGTCACGCTAATTATGAGGCAAGCCTTTTTGCAAGATGACAGATTATTTGTGCACACGAATCGAATTGAAGCTAATGCAGTTTTAAGCGTTCATGTTCATTTTCAATTGTTAATTAGCATGCCTAAATAAATACCATTTGGAGACAAGAGTGCAAGCACAAGTTTAAGCATAAAAGTTAAGCTAAGTTAAGGTCATGGACACAAAAAATAATGTTGAGAAAATAATGGGTATTTTATAAAATTAGACATTGTTGCAGATTTATACACAAAGTACTTAGCTACTTATTCTTTGGTGAAATCTAAGCAAATTACCTGCTGCTCGACAGCTTCCTCATTGCTCACTTTTTAGATAATTATTGTTAGTAATGTTTAAGTAAATAAAATTTGACAATTGACAAATTTAACAATAGGCTGTTTCCAACTTCATAATCGATTTAATGAGCGCATAAATCGTGACTTAATTTAATTATCTAAAAATTCGACATGTCTTTGGTTTGTGTTAAATTGATTTAATTATGGTGATTAATTTGAGCCATCAAAAATCATAATTTCATATTTGGAATTTAATATTTAACGCATGGCTCTTCACCTTGAGCCGCTTCGGGGATTTTTTAGCTAAGCCTAAATCCGGAATTCACGTCTACAAAATTTGCCCGCTGTAAAACTGACCAAGACTAGTTACTCTGTTTTATAGCAATCAGCAATTGCGTGCTTGCATTAACAGCTTTCGTTAGAGCTACTGTTGTGTTAACAGCAAAGCTTGTGGGTATTCAAAAATCGTACGTTATTTCAACAGAGTTTGGCAGCACGAGCTCAAAGCTTGTCATAAATTGAAATCGAGTTGGAAAAAGCTGAAAATCAAAACAATGAGGCGCGAATAATGCCAAAAAAGCGGCATTTTGTGTGTAAAGCGCTAAAAAAGCGTTCGAAATTGAAAGCTCTGAATTGTTTATTAGCTGCGATTCGGCTTGGCGCGCAATTGCCCTGTTGGATTGTTGCCACAGGTAACTGACCAGACACAAAGCGGCCCAAACAGAGAGCCGCGAGACGCAAGCTGCGAGTACTCAAACAAACAATCGTCAATGGTGCAAGATACACTGAAAAAATAAAATTGAAATAATATTAGGCATAAAAATATATGTAGTACTAAGCAACTTTGCTTCATTTAAAAAAATCCAATTAAATTCTCTAAAAAATATATATTCTTATAAAACGATAAGAAATTTAAGCAACTAGAATATGTTGTTAAGTTCCACAAACCGAAAAATTAAAAAAATAAGTGAAATTTAAGCGAATAGAATATGTTGTTAAGTTCCGCAAACCGAAAAATTAAAAAAATAAATGAACTTTGAATATGTCGATGAAAAGTTATATTAACATTTGAAAACAATCCTTCAGAAGCTCTTGTTTGTATGTTTACAAGAGCTTCTGAAGGATTGTTTTCAACTTTTAATGTAGTATGGATATATAAAATTTTAATAATGTATAAGAACCACAACATATTTTAAAAATATAAAAAAATTAAGATGTAAAACTCAAACTAAAATTGTATTATAACTTGTAAAAGATACAAGAGTAAATAATAACCAAGCTATTCGTAAACTATACGCGTACTATAATTTAACAATCAACTTTTTTCGCTAAGTGTACGCACTGTACCTGTGTTATCCACACATAACGACAGCAACAATAACAAAACAAGCAACCACCAGGGCAGAGCCAGAGTGCGCCCCTAAGTTTGGATTAAAACGTAACGCTCAGTTCCCGGACAACTTTCAGCGATGCGAGAACGCGACGGATAAACTAAATTTTAAATGAAATGCTTTTGGTGCAATATTTGGAAAACTAAAGATGGTTTTAAAATTATTCATAAATAAAATAGTTAAAAGAATGTGCAATTGCGGTAAAAGTTGTTAACTATTGGCTAAAAAGAGAAACCAAAAAGTGGAAATGAAAGCAAAACTGACGCGTTGTGTGTCAATTTTATTGTTTCTGGTCATTTTGAACAAGTGCAAGGGGCGCGGGGTTGAGGCAGTTGGACAGGCGCTGATACAATTAAGTCACGGTAAGTTGAGCAACAAGCCAAAGTGAAATTATTTGTATTGTTCAGATTGTCCAGCAATATGTTTGGGTATAAATATTTTCGGCTGTGGTCGCGGCTTGAACTGACCCTTCAACTGTAGCTGGTTGCTGGTGTTGCTGCCACAAGTAATTTGACCTTTGGCTTCATGCGTCAGTGCCCAACAAAAATTGCCCAAAAAAAAAAATTCACTAAAATCACGTAAAATTCGACAGCTAGCCAAAATGTAGGACAATCAATATAATTTATGAGTAATTGCAGCCACAAAAAAAAAACAATTGCTGGCAAATCCCAGGCAGCTGCACAAACAGGTGCACAAATATGCGTTAAAGTTAATTGCGCCGCCAACACGCACACAAATTGGTCAACTCTGCCACAAATAATTTCGGTGGCATGCCCCCGCAGCAAGTGCTAATCGATAAATTTATTACTGTTGTCTAACCGGGCATTGTTGCTGTTAGTGCGCGGTCATCATCATTGAGGCCAAGCGATCATAATTATGCCTGGCCTGCTTTAAAGCATAGCCAGGCCCAGACAAACAGCCTTAGGAGGAGGTTGGTTGCACGTAGCATAATTTGAGCAGCAACTGTTGCTGTTGCATTTGCATGCAATTGATCAAACAAACTTGGAAATGCGGCATTAAAATAAGATACATAAACATAATGGTAGCGAGAGGGCTGCCATTCCAACTTAGCCCAAAGTGGATTACGTTGGGTAGGTAACCAGTTTTCATGATTTGTCGATAAATTGAACGACAAACTGGGAATTTGTTTGATGGCTTACATACTCTGTGGTGCTTGTAGTCTGCATGTCCCTAATATCTATTCTTATACACCTACTTCTTTGGAAGAATATAATATACACTACAAAGTAGTCCTTTTACATTTCGAAAGGTTTTGTTACACTTTTTAAATTTGTATTGAATAATCTTTAAGGCATATGTTATACTATTTTTAAATTGAAAAAATAACTGCAATGTACTTTTTTATAAATTAATAATAATTATCTTCCTAATACCATTATTATATATATATGTACTAGACAATTTAAAGGTTACTATTGATTTCCCTTATTGTCGTGCCTATATTCCTTATATTATTATATATATTTTTTTGTAATTATTTCAATGAATATATCCACATACACTATAAATTTAACTTTTCTGATTTTATTAATTATTTGTTAAGTTCTCTGTTTTTTTTTTTTTTTTACATTAAATCGCTTTTGATGTATATTTTTTTAAGAGAAATTAATCTTTTTTTTATTTAGAAGGGTTTTCTTTGATTCGATTGGCTATTTTCAATTGCAACATTTAATAGCTTAAAAAAGAACTCAATTAAATAGTAATAAATATAATAATTCGGAATAAATGAGCACTCACTTATATAGCATAATCTAAACTCCTTTTAGACAGTCTTACCTACCTGCTATTCGTAAGCTAGCTCACAACGGTCTATAAGGTTTTTTTGCAAGCCAGTAAATTACTATAGCAACGTTCTCAAAGTTCAAGAAACTACCAAATAACAAGCCACCAGTTCGCAAATAAACAGCTTAATAATAAATGTATATATGCAGATGATGATTTGGATGATAACTATCCGGAAATCAAGGATGAGGTGCATTTGGAGGATTTCTTCTGGACGGGTTCAGGCGACGGGCCGCCCGACTATCTGAAGAAGGTGCACACAGGCATCAGCAAGGGCAAGGATGTGATAGTCAAGACGGAAACCGTGGTGGCCACCGTCTACGTGGATGGCAACAATGTTAGTCTGATCAAGATACAACTAACATGTACAGTTAAATTAACTGTTTGTTGTTTTTAGGAAATCGAGATACCGATTTGTCTGGACTGCAGGCCTGATGATGGTGGCGGCAATTGGGATTTGGGTGCACCTGGCATGCCGCCACTGAACTACTCCTCAACGGATCGCCGCTATTGGCTGCTGACTGTCATGTCTGGGTTCTATACGGCCAGGGATAATCCCATGCTGGAGGAGAGGCTGGCGCGTCTATATCGGTTGGCTTTTACTAGGTGAGTATGGAAATGTTTACATTTAGAGCTGCCCTAACTTCCAACTGGGCTGACATACAGACAGCAGACACGCCACCTGGGCATAAATGGAGCACAACAAATTGCGGGCGTTTCTATAGAAGCGTCACGTGAGCGCCGCCAGCCGGGGCCAGACATAAGCAGTACGACCACCTCCTGGCCGGGCGATGATGTCGAAATACTCGATATGCAGGTGGATACAACGCATCAAATCAAAACAGTGTGGGCGGCGGGTGCGGAGCCCGAATGGGCAGTCGCTGACTCAGCAGAGTCAAGTGAGTCGCCACTGAGCAGCTCCACGGTGGCAACAACAGCGACAGAGTCCATGGACTACAGCGCATATGTAACGCTTATCCCCTGGGAGCTAATACAGCAGAATGGCAAGTCGGAGAAGTTGCAGGAAATGCGCGAGGCGTTGTTGAGTCAACAACAGCAAGAGGAGCAGCAACAACAACAACGACAACAACAGCCACTCTATAGGGAAGACCGAGTGCGGGTTGTTATACACAACATCACGCAAGTCAGCGAATCGGAGCTGCTTAAGTGGAACAGCTCGGCTGGCAATGTGGCTGACTCCGATGCGTATGTTAACCTCAAATTGTAGGACCAACACCCCCATTAACTTTACCTACTTATACTTACCTGCATCTCTAATCTCATCAGCCATGAGCGACCTGTAGCCAATCAAACGGAACTCATCTATACGGTTCTTGTGAATGGGCGACCAGTTTTGGCCACCACAGCTGCTAAGGACATGGAACTGGTTAGCGAGGCGGAGGCAGTCAGCACGCTGGGCAAGGCCATATATATGAAGTCTGAACGTAAGTCAAAAATACAGTTAGCTTCGGCGTGTCGAATTCTAAATACCCTTGCAAATAGAGTATTCTTTTTGACGCTTTGCACATTTTATGCAAAGGATAAAAATATCTGAAAACTTTTCCGCTTTACAGCTTACATTAGGGAGCCCACGGCTACTGCCTTGGCGCCGGTGCCACGCAGCGGACAGGCGGGCTTTTTCAACTCTGTGAAGAACAATGTGGTGCTGGTGGTCATTAGCTCTGTGGCCATTCTGCTGTTGATGCTGCTACTGGTGGCCATCCTGTTGCTGGGACGCACACGTGCTCGCCAGCGTGAGCTCAGTGCGGTAAATAGGTAAGTCCACAGAATCAAAGCAGCCGTTAATTAAAGTCTAATGTTCTCCTATCAACCTCACAGAACCTCCTCGCGCAACGAGCTTTTATCAGAGGGTCAGTCCATGCGACCCAGCTCGCGTGGCACTTTGCTGGACAGCGCTGCGGGTGGCTCTGCTCCTAATCCCGGTGATCAGAGCACCACACGGTCTCGGGATGTGGGCGTGCAAAACTTTTCGTACGAGCGAGAGCCACGCATCAGTTTTCCGGCACCGCCAGCTAAGGCACACACGCGTACACGGCGTGATTCCATTTCCTCAACGGATAATACCTCCGACTCTTCAGTTTATTGTCCCATTAATCCGCCCAGTGCCGATGTGCAGCGTATATTGGACGACAAGGCGTCGCGCCTATTTGACGGGCACAAGCGACGGCGGCATCAGTATGACCGTGCTGAGGGAGGACTCGAGGATACCATATATGCCTCGGTGGTGTCTGAGAAGAAGGGCGACAAGTCGCGCCACAAGTCGAAGCGTCGCTATTTAAATGAAAATCGCGTTGGGTCGCTGGAAACCAGTCCGGTGCAGGGCTCGTTGGGTCAAAGCAACTCTTCCACGGAAGAGGGTAACTCGCCGGCTGCCACGCGTCGCGGCTATGAGAACTTTCAGCGCAATGAGGCCTACAATCCGCACAACAATTACCATCGCAATAAGCTGCTACAACAGCAAACTATCTTTACGGATAAGGAGTATCCGGAGGATGATACCGTTGGCTCCCCAGAAGCCATCAACAGGGAGATGATACGTTCACGCGGCGCACAACCATCGGAGAAGTCTTCAGATACGGCCAGTGTGGGCTCCTTTCTGTCCATGGCTTCGGTACGCGCCTTTCCCAAGAGCACACTGCCCGAGCCACTAAATCGCGTGCTGGATCCCGTTTTTGTCACCTACTACGACAATGTGAATGCTGTGGCACCGCAAACCGCAACAGCACCGCCGCAACAGAACTCCACCAGATCCCTGAAGTCACACAAATCCCTTGGGAGCAGGGATAGCACCATAGCGACCATTGCCAGTTTTCCCAGTCCAAAGGCGCCACCTCCAGTACGGAATGTGCGTTCCGCTTCGCACAGTGATAATCCGGATCCGGGTTGTGTGGGCCCCGTCGTCTGGGAGCGGCACAAGAAACGTCTCAGCAGCAGCGCTGACAACCAGGGTGAGGCGGGTGGACACAAAGATGATGATGATGTTGATCATGAAGTTGATGATGATGATCATGATGTGCAAATTGGGGCACAGACACGCTACTAACTGGCAACTGTAGTTCTAGTTGTTGTTATTCTTGATGTTGTTGCCTGCACACAACTGTAATTAGTTAACCCAGTTAGAAACCATAGAACCCAAATATATATATATATATATAAACAAAACAGTCCACTTGCAATTCAACTGAACCCAACTGAACACAACTGAACTCAACTGAACTTCCTCCAAACATCTTCCGCAGAGGCCCGGAGCTATGCTGACTTTAGCCCCAGTCCCATGCACGATGCTTCCGCCATACGCAACCACTATGAGGGCTTATTGGAGGGCGCCATGCAGATGTACGCCAGCCAGGATGATCTGCCCATGCCACTGCCCTCGCGTGATTTTACCAACAAGCGACGTACCACAAAACGCGAGCATCGCGGCTCTTCCGCCGGCTTGCCCAGGTATGTGTCGGTGCCTTCAAACTTGGTAACTGCGTAACCAGCGTTTTATCTATCCCTTACAGCAATCCCCCAAAAGCATATAACACTGCGGATCGGCCGGCCACTGCACAGCCGGAGAAGACACCAAAATCGGCCCAATCCACGCAGCCGCCATCGCCCACCTACAGCGCTTGGGGCAGCAGTCTGCACGGCTCCCACTCACCGCTGGTGCGGCCACTGAGCGCTGGTCCCTTTCTGCGGCCTGAAACTATTTTGGAGATTTCCCGAGGAGCACTTATCACCTCCAGCTCCACAGCAAATACGCCGGGACGTGAGCGTAAGGCATCGGCGCCTTCGGCCGCGCCACTTATCGAGGCCATTCAAAGCGAACTGCGCAAGTTCAAGCAGCAGAAGGATTAAATAAACCAGAACCAATAATAAAGAACGAGAGTGCTCTTCGTTTTATATAATAACATAATACGCTGATAAACGTAAACTCTTTTCCATTTCATTACAATAAATTTTCACATAACTTGAATACTCTCAATTTTAAATTCAGGGTAAAAAAATGATTAATCACAATGCAAAAAGATTTGAATGTAGAAGTAGAATCCATGCATCTTTGCTGTTAAATGGGATTCAACGATTTTTAGGAGGAAGGCTTAAGTTTTGTCTGACTGGCTTCAAACTTACTTTCAAAGCCCACATAAAATCTTATTGAACAAGTGTTTCGGCGATTTTTGAAATTCCATCCGCAACTATGGGAATTTTTTCGACCACTTATGACCACAAGAGCGGGAACTGATGTCTAACATTTGAAGCATAAACTGTTTTCGTGTAAACGTGCTCAAGCCATGCTAGATTTATTTAAGTGCATAAAAGTGATAAAACATGGCACACAATGGTAATGGTTATATTAAATCGGTTATTGCTAAACCGGAAGAAGACCCATTCTAACAAAAAGCCCATCAGACTCGCAAATATGCTACATGCATACACCATAAAGCCGCTTTATGGACAATGGATATCGGGACGGGGGTTCGAAGGTGCCTGGCTAAGTATGCTGAGCTTTTCCGCCTGATACAGTCCCAGTAGGAACCACTTTTGTACTAGCCCCGACTCGCGTACTTGGCCCACGAAGTGTTTCAATACATTCGAAAGGGAAAAACCAGGACGCACATGAAACGTCATAAAAATCATATTATAATTTCAAAGGACAAGATCAAACAGGTTCGTGTTCCAAATATTATTGGACTATACACGGCAATACTTAAGTCCGACACCAAATTCGCGCTAATATCAATACATCGATCTCCCTCATAGCCTATAGTGAGTGCGTTTATATATTCTCGATATGAGAGGGGTAAAATATCCTTAGACCCGTTTACATAGCACATAAATTCTTTAAACAATACAATATTACCGCTTATGGAAATATTTCCGTCGGGTGTTTAATACTGTAAAAATACATTTTGTTATCGGAAAGAGAAAAGATAGTAGTTGGCTCACTCTGGTAAAAAGCAACCAGAGATCGGTACTGACCCACATTACCAAATTTACGGTATTTCTGTCGCTCCACTTCAGGTAAGGTTTGGTATGATTGTGGTGGCTGTTTGGAATAATGAAAATGGCTTTACTTTTTACCTAAAAAACTTTCCACAGCTGCAGAAGAAAGGAAGAATTTTTGTGACGACAGCTTGGCGCTGATTACAGGGTATTCCCTAGTTGGGCACTCCCGACTAAAGCCATTTTACTTGTTTATTATTGTATTAAAATCGCCTTTATAAACAAATATAGAGTATTTACATTTGTGAAGCGTTTCGGGATTTTTTACAATTACATTCAAAAGACTTACACCGATATAGTATGCCCTCACCAGCCCATTTATATATGTTATATTTACTTGTTTATTATATACCCATTATAATATTCCGTTGCAATGTTGATCTCTTTGAAGCTTTAAACAAGTGGTTCAAGTGGCCGTAAATAGTGTACTAAAATTTGTAGATTCATAATAAATATATTCGAGAGCGTTTTCGAGCGTTTTGTGGTTTCCTTCGGGTGCCTTTGCCTTCCTGATCATTTAGAACAATTCCTTTTGACCTTTTGTATCAGCCGGATAGTCCTTGACATTGATGCTACGCTTGCCCAGACGTGGTCCAAACCACATGCCAGACGAGGCGCTGGGTCCGGTGCGTTTGTCTAGCGCCTGCTGCAGTGCCAGCAAATGGGCCCATTTTCTCAGTTCAGAATCGCTGCGTCCCACACGAGGAAATGGCACCAAACTGGCGCGCTTTTGATACTCTACAGGCGATAAAATAGATTTAAATAAAAATTGTAATTAACTGAATTCTTACGCACCTTCAAAATCCTCAGCTGAGGCATCACCAATGCCGTAGAGGGTCTCATAGGCGACCGCGTCGTTGTCATCGTGCAGGCTGTTTACCAAGCTCGGATCGCTGCGTCCGACGCGTGGAAACGTATAGAGACCCATGTTGGCACCACGACGAGTTTTATCATGCTCCACTTTTGATTAGAAAAGGTAAGAGCAGTTTGAGAAATACCCCTCTTATATACCATATAGTTGCTATAAATTTTATAAAATATTGCTCCTCGTAACTTAAAAGTGCCTCAAATATAACGTAAATGAATTGCGTCCGAGTCTATTCATAAATATATACGCTTTAAGTGTCCGGAATAGTCTTTTGCCCATTACATTGGAGCGAATGTAAGGATACTTGTACACAAATTAGTTAAATATGTTTTGTACAGAAGTCTCACTTGCTGCTCAGCTTAGGCTTTAATGAAAACAAATTGAAATGGCCTGAGGACTGTCCCAGTAGAGCTGGCAGCTGCGCAGAGATTTATTGCCCATGGATTAACACCCTGCTAGCCAAGGCTTGAGTTGAGCTATATTAATTGGTCACTCAATGTATCAAATCATTTCCATTCTTGGACTCACCTGCAGCACTGAATTTGGTCAGCAAAACAAGCAATAAAATTGTGTAGGCAATGTTGAGTAGTCCCAGAAACGACTTCATTTCTCAACTTTAAATTCAAAATGTATTATATCTCTTAGATGTTCGCTTGATGTTAACTTCTTGACGCTCACAGATATAATGCTTGATGCTGCATGAAACTCTCGTCCTTTTATATTCCAAGGCAGGCAATGTGGCGTGTGGGAACAATAGCTGCGACTTTTGTAAGCTTTATGTGCGTGTGGTTGTGTCTCTAGCAACCAACCACCTGTGGACTGGGAAATGTTGCTAAGCCGAACACTTGTTGCCAATGGCTGACGCAAAAGTTTGAAAGGGATATGCGGGGATTTGCAAGCAAATTGCAATTGCGAAATTTGTAAGTTAAGCGCGAAAGGTTTAAAAAAATGTGCACAAAAAGAGCTTGGATGTAGGGGTATTATTTTCAAGTGGGCTCTTAAGCTGCGACTTTTCGGAAATTGCCATCGTGCATTTTGTTTTAAAGGAGGTCGATAAACAAAAAAGGTTTTTAATCAAAAATCTAGTTTTCGACCGATCGTCCCTATGGCAGATATATTATATAGTAGTCCGATGTAATTAAGTTTTCACTATTCTGTGAAATTTTTAATTGCCGTGTTTAATCAAAATATCTTGAATGACAAAAATGTTTTCCATACATAAACTTAATTTTAGAACGATCGTTTCTATGGCAGCTATATGATATAGTGTACCGATCTTAATAGGATTTTGCAAATTTATGAAGAGCAAGGTAAAACTAATAAATGTCGAGTTTGGTCAAGAATTCTTGAAAACAAAATGTTTTTTCATACAACAACTTAATTTTTACCGATCGTTCCTATTGCAGCTATATGATATAGTGGTTTGATCCAGCTGGTTTTGACATATGTGCTGCGTGCAACAGAAAGATAGCTTTAAAAATGAGAGACTAGTTCGCATAGAAATAGACAGACGGACAGACGGTCAGACGGACATGGCTATATCGACTCGGCTGTTGATGCTGATCAAGAATATATATACTTTATGGGGTCGTAGATGTCTCCTTCTATGCGTTACACATTTAACGACAAAATTATAATACCCTCTGCAAGGGTATAAAAACTAGAGAGTAAAAAGTTGTAGGACAATCTACCACAGACGCTACCACAGATGGGAAAAATACATATATTAAAAATATGAATTTATAAATAAGAAAAATCTGTTATCTTTTCAGTCTGAAAATGGAGGCCAAGGTATTTTTTATTTTTAGTTAAAATTTCGTTTATTTGTTCACACACATTTTAAGTACTTAGTTCAGCTAGGAAAATCAACGAAAGTGTTATTGAAAAAGTATCTTTTGGCTTTGGTCCTACAGCCAACCGGAGATCATGCGGCCTGTGACGGTGGATTTGCCGCGTTCGCCGCCCGCCGCGGCGCTGCTTTGGCCCACTTTCATGGCTGGTTTGAGTGGCGCCGGGGCGGGTTTCTTATCGTCCTCTGGTTTCTTAGCGTCTGGCTTTTTGTCTTCGCTCGGCTTGTCTCCAGCTGCCGCTGTGGGTTTCGAATCGCCCGGCTTGCCACTCGGATCCTTTTCCTTCTTGTCATCAGCCTTCTGATCCTGTCCGGTTTTCTTATCCTCGGACTTGCCGGCCGGTGTGGCTCCGCCGCTAGTCTCATTTGCCGCCTTAGTGCCGTTGGGCGTGCTGGTTGTCGCTGCGGCTTTTGTATTGGTGTCCGGCTTGGAATCCGCGGGCGCCGAAGGCGCTGCACTCTTGGTAGCTGTTCCAGTGGCCGCTGCTGGCTTAGCCGCTTCGCTTTTGGTTGCTTCCTCCTTCTTGGCGACCGCTTCCGGCTTTGCGGTTTCATTTAGCTTAGGCGCCACAGGCTTAACATCAGCGGGCTTTGCTGGTGGTGCCGGTGCATTGGGCTTGGCTGCATCGCTCCCAGATTTCGTCTGTTCACTGGGCTTAGCTCCACTGGAAGCAGTTGGCGGCTTAGTTGCTGGCACCACGGGCTTCTGTTCACCTGGTTTTACGCCAGCAGCAGGTGCTTGGGGCTTAGCATCGGGCTTATTATCGCCATTAAGTTTCTTGCCATTAGTGGTTTTCTTGTCATCTACTTTTTTATTATCCTTATTGTCCACACCGTTGCCTTTCTCGTCCACATTCTTGACGGAGGCGCGTGCGGCCGCTGCCAAGATGGAGGGACCTCCGCTGGCACTGCTTGTCGATTTTCTGGACTGCAAGTCCATCGTTAAGTAAACTACAAGCTATTTGTGATTGGTGAGTAGATTCTACTTACGCCATTTGCGTCTGATTTCTTCTCATCATCGCCCTTAGTGATTTCATCAGTCTCACCCACAGAAACCTCATCGGCCGCCATCTTCTTTCGCATAAACTTCACATAGGCTACGCGAGTGGCACGCGTCACTTCGCCCAGATTGGGATT